AATATATCAAAAAATTAAAATAATTTAAATATTCGAAAAATCTAGTTACTCTGAAACATGTACAAAAATCAATTGATTTGGATGATCATTTGGTCGAATATAGCCATGACCTCTTTCACGACAAAATTCTTCAATTGTACCTTCATATGATGGACTTTGTAATGCACGCTCACATCTAAATTAGAAAAATTTTTATATAATATTTTTTGTTATAAATTTAATGTGTTTAATTAATAAATGGGCTAGTTTTTGTTACATAACACACAGTACTCAGGATCTCTTTTTTTTTCTATTATAGATCTCATTCATAAAGCAGGAAATTGAAACTCTTGAATATCAAGAACCTCTTCCTCTGAATAAAGTGAATAATAGTTCTGGTACCGGATATCGAAGAACATATAAGGTCATGAGCACAATTTTCACAATGACAAAGTCTATTTAGAAAAATTCTTACTGTGAAAGTGTTCGTTCACGTCTCGAAATAACTGGATGTGATAAATGATCGCCAGAACGAGGCGAATATGATGTTGATAAGGATGGCGATGATGTATGAGACATAAAAAAAATATGAGACTAGATCTAGAACATAAATATATTTAAATCATTGGTTTTTTTCAACATAAAGAAAAAAAACGACAAGAAACAAAAGCTTTATTCATAATAAAAGTATAAAACGCAAAACGATCCATCAATACTCATCATGGAATATTAATAATTTTTTATTTAAAAGAAAATGATTATATTTCAAGGTATTTGATGTCGCGTTAGAGAAAGCTTAAGACTTGATGAATTCGAAAAAAAAAAGAATTTTGTTTTCTATAGATGTTGTCATAAGAGTTTTATAATAATCAAGCACAAAGAATTTGGATCAAAATTTTGAAATGAAAATACCAATAAATATTTTTATATTTCCTATTATATTAAAAAAAAATTAATCGAATTAAAGATTTATATTCATCCGAGATTTCTTCATAAAATTCAAGATACTTCATAGTTATCAATTGATTTTGCTTGATTATTATAAAAGTCTTTAATTCTCATGAGAAATTCTTTTTAGCATCCATGATTAATTAAAAACGTCAATAGATATTTGTTTTCCTTTTTTTATGCATCAAGTTGTTCTTAAACATACATTCATTGTTGTTTCTTGATTTCCTAATTATCACACATAAGCCTTTAAATATTGAAAGTACTTTAGTAATTAAATTCCTACTTGAAAAAATTGGATATACATCTTACTCTCTCAACTAAAAATAACTCATTTAGTTACAATATTTCATGTAATCTATAACAAAAGAAAAACAAAGGTTATTTCATTAGTTATTTTTCTTTGTTAGACAAAAAAAAAAAGAAATATACAATTACATAAAAAGAACAATTTACTTCCTAGCTTACCTAGCTACATTTCACCATCGTCTGTAGCTGATAAAGATTTTGTTCTATGTGATATATTAGCTGCTGTTTCATCTTCTATATTTTCTGTACTTTCTGAATCCATTTGATCTTGTGGTAATAGAGCTGATAGATAGGGTAATGGTGATATAGTATTTTTAATAAGATAATAATCATTTATATTAGTTCCATGTGTATTAATAACAGATAATTTTTCATTTGTTTGTAATTTAAATTTAACTAATGAACGTTGTAATGCACGACGTTGTTCAGCTAATAAATGTCGAACACGTGGATAATCTTTACGTAAATCAGCATATGTTTCACTTGATATAAATGTATGAGGATCAGGAAATTCAGGTAAAAAATCTGGTATATAAATTGGACGATGTTTACGTGAAGAATTGTTTGTTGTTGATGTAACACGAAATAATTTTGTTGGATGTGTTTCTGTTTGACGATCCGGTGAACGAAGACGATGTTTTATTGGTTGATTATATGTTTGTTGTAATGATGATAATTTAACATTCATTATTTGTAATGAACGTGCTAGATCTGATGGACATGGTTCTGTGCGTAATTGAATTTCCATAAAATTTTTAACATTAAGTAATAATCGACGTAGAATGGTATTTGATATATCAAGAAATTGATGATAAGCAGATAATTCAATATTATCAAAACCATATTCACGTATAATAACTGCTAATGAACGTTCGAATAGAACATCATATGGATTATCAGTATTTGTATCCATATTTTAGATGTTGAAAGAAACACGCTTGCGATTACACGATGTAAGAAATAATGACGATAATAATAGAAAGACAGCAATATGAAACACCAATCAGAATTACTAACAATTTCTTTAAGCTAGCAAGTAGTGACATCATTTGATCAAAGACTACACAATAACATATGATTATATACTTGAAGTTTCGAACATTAGAATATTCTGTATAGTTATCGTCGGATCGAGTATTTTTATAATAGGAATCGATCCTGATCAGAAAATGTGTTTTTTAAGCTCATCAGAGGTAGTTTCAGTTCCTTTTAAAGCCGTTTCTGCCAGAAGAAAACGAGAACAATCTTTAGGAAGAAGAGTTAATCGTTCTCATTCTAAAGTCGCTTCTACAGACAGTAATAGTTTATATGTAAACAAATATTATATCTTTTAATTATATTATAGAAAAAAATATATCAATGTACAAGGTTGGATGAGAATTACTTAACTTTGATTAACGAGTTGTATAGCTTGTCAAAGAACGCTTGTGATATAAAAAGAATGAACGTGATAATTGGAATAATAAAATTGCCCTGAAAATATGTTTGATGTGACTAAATGTAGATGTGATCAATTGTTCGATTTTATTATTATAGTTTAGCTTGTAATTTCTAATGGAAAATTTACTTAGAAAAAATGGTTTACCATCACATGATTGATGTTATTTAAAAAATAAAAACGATGTGAAAAGCTGTTTTTTTTTGTGGGCTCTTCTCATTGCTATGGGTTTAAATAACTTGTTGCTTCCTTTCGTAGTACTTCTTTGTTCTCAAAGTTTCAAAAAATAATAAATAGAGGAGATAGATCTATTATTAAGCACATCATTTTTTTTTGCATGCAGTTACATTTACTGTTTAAATAATTTTTGATTAGCAGTTCTTATTGAGATACTAGATATTTGTAGATGTTTGTGTAGTAATGAAGTATTTCAACGAATTTATATTTCTGCAGCTATGAAATTCATTGACATTTAATTGCAGAAATCGTTTGACAAATGTTTCGTTTCTGGAAAAAAACTTTCAGCACTGCTGTGACTTGCTAGAATAGAACATAGAGTGCATCATATAGACAAAAAGAGACTGTAGGCAACCGCTGTCACAACTTACTTAATATTAACAGATTATATCGTCCCGAATCATTCAATAAAAAAGTAAACGGAAACTTCTCATATGAAAAAGCAGACGAGATGGTAACATTGATTATGATATATTTGATAATAAGGTGAGATAGTAAAATGTATCTTTATGGATATGTGGTTTGGACATCATCGCAATAAATTAAATGTTTCATATTAAGAATTTTAAATCAATCTGCGTATTATATATCGATGCTAGCATTTAGTACAGTAAAAAAGCTGAAAACTTGATGATCGCTAGTAAGTCAATCACAACTTCTCGCATATTGATATGAATTAACCGCAATCAGATGATCATGCTGACTAACTAAGTACCTAATCTCTTGGAATGAAGCAATAAAGAGTGCTCTAGAATACTCCTCCAATTATCTGTGAAACAGATAAATAGTCGCTCATTGAGAAAGTTCTGATTGGTGTCCAAAGTTCACGGAAAAGAAGCAGCAGATCTAGTCACTGCTCTACCAGAGAGCAAAAAAACAAATTGAACAAACATTAGGGAAGAATTCTCTGTCAACTCAATTATTAGTACATACATCTGTTGCTGGGTCTAAAGGAAGATGCAGATATTACAGTACGAAAAATTCTTTAGTGTTCAGTAGCATAAAATGTAGTTTTTGTGAGATTTCTCTTTGTGAAAAAAAAATTTTTTGTTATTTCATGAAAAACTTGTATAAGTTTTGCAATTAATAAAAGCGAGCCATTTGTATCATGGATTTGTGTCTAAAATAAGCTAATCTAACATTCTACTTGAATTGAATTCAACAGAAATAATTTGGCCCTCAAAGGGTTAAAGTCTAGCGAAAGCATGCGAGCTAATAATAAAAACTGATCGAACGGAGATTTTTGCAAATTCTTTTTTTCATGGGATACAAATACAGAGCTATTCCTATCTGTGGTTGATTGTCGAATAAGCTTTCGATGGAGATTATTAATATCGTCAATAAGAATAATTGTTATACAATGTTTGTTGATAACATAATTAATCCTTTTTGAATTAAACGAGAGTTTTCATACTTATTTAGATTGGATTTGTGTTTGCTTACTATCGATGATAATGTTGGTCTTCTTAAACAATCTTTAACAAATGTTTTAATTTCTTTTCTTCTTATCTCACTTCTGAACGGTAAAACCTGTGATCTATTATTCTTTATTTGTTCTGTACTAAAATAACGAATTACATTACTTCCTTATCGAAAGATTTTTCATTGTGTGTATTTTACTTTTTTTTTTACAACTAGCTTTCAATATTTGTTGTTCTAATCATTGATACTACTCCTCTCTTCCCTGAAATAATCTTTTTTTTTACTGTATTAAATCTGATTAGCTGTTCATGACCAATTTTTCGATCAGAGAAGCCATTACTTCAAAACGAGGTGCAAAAATTCATTATCCATGCCTCAACGAAATTCCAACTTTTCGATTAGCCTCAGCCATAACTTTTTTCTTCTTCCTCAAAAAAGCTTTCTTCTGTTTTTATTACTACTATATCTTGCTTGTGTCAACATTGTTGAGATGTGTGAACAGTGTTTTTTTCGATTGTTCTGCAAAAAGGAAAAAAAGAAAGTAACTTCGCTCGACAATCAATTCAAGAGAGCACGTAAAACAACATACAGGTTCTCAGTTGAAAGAAGAAAAAAGAGAATAATATAAGTAAAACTTTATGTTTCGATATATATTTGTTTCATTTTAATGGCTACCAACAAACAGCAATTAACTAAAACATCAAGTTCAAAAGAATCTGTCGATCAGTCGATAAATTCTAATTTTGAGTCGTTCACGTGCTTGTGGCTCGATCAAAATGTTAATTCAACACAAGATAATCTCCAAACTCAGAAAGAACTTCGTCAAGTTATCAATCATCTTCGAACATTTGATAAAAGTGATGAATGTGAACAATACATTCGAAAGATTACAAAAGAAAAAGTTGTTCTCATTGTGTCAGGTTCATTAGGTCGGCAATTGGTACCTCAAGTTCACGATCTTCGACAGTTTTCTGCATGTTATGTCTTTTGTCAAGATCAGAAAGCAAACGAACAATGGGCTAATAAATATCACAAGGTTATATATTTTTATAACAATCAGGTTCTTTTTTTACCTCAATATTTCATATTATTAGTGTTTTTGTTGAAAGTGCTAAGCTTGTTGCTAAAATATCGAAAGATCAAATAAGTCGAAGTAAAGTAGAAGATGATGTTTCAATATCAGTAATTACTACGGGTTCTCAATCTCTTCAAGCTCGTAATGCTATCTTTATGTGGTTTCAATTGTTTATTGAAGTTCTTCTTCGTATGTATCATCAATCTAATGATCGTAAAGAACTTTTGGACATTTGCAAGAAGAGTTATACGGGTAATCAACAACAAATGAAAATTATTGAAGAATTTGAAAAGACTTACAAAGGAGAAAATGCGATTTGGTGGTATACACGAGAATCATGTTTTTATCGAATGATGAATAAAGCGTTACATGTACACGATTTCGATATGTTATTTGCTTTTCGATTCTTTATTACTGATATTGCCAAACAGATCAAGAATAAACATGAAAAATTTATTCGTACTTGCGAAAATCGAAATATAATTCACGTTTATCGTGGACAAATAATTGGAAATGAAGAACTAGAACTCATGGAGAATATCATTGGTGAATTTCTTTCGATGAATTCTTTCTTATCAACAAGTCGTGATCGATCGACTACTCTTCATTTTGCTCGATTTACTCCGAAAGCTGATGACTCTCAACAAATTATATTCGAAATTGATATTGACCCGCGTTTACAAACGAAAGCTTTTGCTGACATTTCTCAAATCAGTTATCATCAAAACGAAGATGAAGTATTAATAACGCTTGGTGCTTGGTTTCGAATTGAAAAAGTAAATAAAGATAAAAAGGAACGAATATGGATGGTTCGTGTGTCGTTAGCAAGTGAAGATGATTATCATTTGAAAGAAACATTTTCTTATATGAAAAACACAATTGGTGACGACACTGATTTAGATTCTCTTGGAAGAATTCTACTAGAGATGAGTGAATACCAACAAGCACGAAAATGCTATAGAAGAATGTTGGATGAGACTCAATTAGCTAGTGGAAACGCAGCATTAGGTTTAGGTAAAGCCTGTACTTTGTGCAAGGAAGCTGATGAAAGTCTTGAACATCTCCAAGAAACATTGCGTATAAAAAAAAACTTTTTTTGGAACAGACCACGCAGACGTTGGAGAGTGTTATACTTGGATTGGAGGACTCCATTGGTACGTGCGAGAAGATTATGATCAAGCGTTGTCAAACCTGAAAAAAGCAATCGAAATCCAAGAAGCAACACTCCCGTCTGATTCTCTTGCTCTGGCTAAGACTTATCATAACATAGGAACTACATACGAATTGATTGATCAATATGACTTCAGTTTACATTATTATAGCAAAGCGCTCAAGATTCGACAAAAAGTCTTACCTAGTAATCACCCAGAGATAGCCTCAACCTATAATAACTTAGGAGGATTATACGAGTGTAAAAGAGATTATTCAAAAGCACTAGAATACTATGAAAAATCGCTCGACATTCGGCGTAAAATTTTACCACCTACTCATGCACATATTATTGACGTCGAAAACAATATTCGTAAATTGAAAAGCAAAATGAAAAAGTAGTTCGATATTCAACTGAAGAAGTATAATCTAACAAATATCTACACGCTGTCACTCATTATTCACTCTCTATTCAAATATTAAAAATACACTGTTTGACGATAGAGTTGAAATAGGGCCGTCTTCAGTTGATTTTTTTATATAACTGTTCTCGAGCTATAGGTTTGTATCTTTTTTCTATAGTTTCTATCAAAGACTAAATAAAATTTTATGGTTCGTAGCTTGAATGTTCAAGAAGCTCTAAACTGGTAAAATTAGTATGATAAATAGATGATGATGATGATGATCTTAATACGATCGTTAGCATTTGGTCACTTATGAAGCTTTTAGCTTACAATATATAAACATACGTTATGATTGTTCATATCAGCCGTCGTGACAAAAAAATAAATCCATTAAGATTCGTTTCATGCAAGAACAATTTTAATTTTAAACTGAACATAGAAACTCGAAATCGATGGCATGTAATAAGATTCACTAAAATAAAATTAGTTTGGGCTATTTGAAATAATTGAATAAATTTTTGGAGATGATCTGATCGATAGATTCAAAGAAGAACTATTGAGTATACAAAGAAATGCATCCGATATTTACAAAGAATTTCAATGTTATTGGTTGGTTTTTATGAGAAAACGAAAAAAATTACAGTGGTGGTTTAGAGAATTTGTTTTCTTTTTCTAATACAAGAGTAGTATGATATATATAAACGAGAAAATTCCTAAGGCATTGCGAAAATACTTACCTAACATTTCAAATAACTCCTCACTTTAACTATGAGAGAGATTCATCGGATGAACAGGTAGTATTTATTAATATATTGTTACGGGACTGATTTCTCTTAGTTTTTATGTTCTCACACAAGCTGCACCTTTTTTTAATGCATTTGTACACGATTCATTGGCATGTCAACCATATTTCAATGAGTGTGCATATATAGGCACGTGTTTCTAAGGCAAAAGATTTGTCTATTCGACAGGTTTCAATGAGTATCTTTCTTTGATTTTGTTACCATAATCAAATAGGGTTGTTTGTCAAAAAATACCATCAGTTTTTTGTTGTTGATATTTTACACAAAGAAAAGTTTTTCAACATTATTCAATGCGGATATTTTGTATACTTGATGAAGCAAGGTTTCGTCCTAGATAAAGTCTGAGATTGTGAATTTTGCTTTTTAATTATAATTTTATTATGAATATATTCTTTAAATCATCGCATATTGTGCACCTGAACTCGATAAATTTTAGAGGATAGTGCTGTAATTAATTGAACAACTTCACTTTGTCAATTATTGATGTGCACATTGAGAATTTAAATATTCATGTATAATAAATTCAACCGAAAGTTCTATTGAAATGAAACAGTAAATTATTCTGTATGAAACAGCCAAAGCAGAATTGGCTAAAGTGTTAATGCTGATTTATCAATCGAAAAAGATTCTACTTGGTATGGAATTCTTTGATAATTAAGATTGTGTCTGTGCTTTGATTGAAAATATCATGTATGTCCACAGTAACGAACGAAGGACAAGGGCATTGGTCAAAACAGGATATTCTCGGATAGGATAGAGAGTGAAATCAGAAAAAAATTTCTAGACGGATGTTCTGTATGGGTGGCTCCATGTAGACATCAGACGAACGATGTTAAAGCAATTGTGAGTAAGAAAAAAGAAAAAAAAAGTAAGTTAAAGTTGTCGAATGTCAAGAAAATGAATTACAGAGTAAATAAAATGAGTCGATATTGATAAAGTTTGAATCCCACAGTCGAATTCTACCAGAATCCTATTAGAACCCAATAATAATTCAATATAAGCTTGCAATAAAATTCAAAATATAATATTTAGACCAATCAAACAATAAGATAAATCATTACATAGCAAAAAATGTTTATAAAAACAGGATAATAAGATTGGTTATATTCAATGTGAATCCTAAATAGTCAATAATGTTTCAACTAAAATTTTCGATTTTTTCATATGACTTGTTAGGACCACGTAAAATCCCAACTAATTAAGATCATACTATACTTAAATACTATAAACTATTATTTTTTCTGTGTACTTGTCTTTTAAAAAGACTTTCAAATATTGACAAAGTAGTCAAAAAGTCGAAATTTCAAAATGAAATGTGAGTAAAGAAATTATTTCTAAACATGCTCGTAATCCCCTATTTCTGATTCTTAAAACCTTGGTGGTTTTTAGTAAAGATGAGAACAAAAGTAATATTTCAATCACATAGGTCTAAAATATGTCAAAATTCGTTGAATTAATCTGTAGACTGCATAAGCCACAATTTGAGAATAAATTTTATTCTTATTGAATAATGTTTCTTTTCTAAATTGAAAGAGAATCAACGAAAATGTAAAACAAAAAAGAAACAGATTAAAACTGAACTCGCAAACAAACAGAAAAAAAGATTGACTTTTGTATATTATTCCACTGCATTGTGTATTTTATCGATTTTTGATTGTTTTCGATTTGGTGAATTTTGTGTATTGGATGAAAAAACTGATTTACGTTTAAATGTAACGAATAATGAAGAATCTTTTGTATTGGAAAGAATATTATCGAGACGATTATCTTCTTGTGTAAAAACCGTTTCATTTGATGTTGAATCTTCTAATGGTACTGTTTCAATCAACGATGATTTTTCTGTTAGTAAATCTGTTGACTGTTGAACAAGACCTAATGTATTAAATAGTTGTTTTTCTTTACCAGACGATGTTACTGTTTGTTGTGACTCATCAGAAATTGTTAAGTTGCTATTACTACAAGTTGATGGAGATAGAGTTGATTTTTTAGTAACAGTTGGTGAAGATGGTGATGCTTGGTGAGAATTTGAATTAGGAGTATCAAGATCATAAGGACGGAATAGTTTTAATTTTGGTTTAGAAAGTTGTGATATTTGCTAATATAAAGTATAATTAAAATTTATTTTATTTATAAAATTAAGACGTACCTCAGATGATTTTTTATCAGTATTTTCTTGTATTGGAATGCTGAAAAATAAAAGGATTTAATTCGTTTTCTTTTTGTATATGACATAGATAAAGCTTACCGTGGTGTTGTATCAATTGTTTTGACATTAGTTAATGAAAATGGAGCTGGTTGTGTTAGTCTTGTTGGTTGTGTAAGTAATTGTAAATATGCAGGTGAATGAAGGAGACTAGATAAGTGGGGTGCCGTAAATCGGTAAGGATCAATGACATCAGAACGCCTGTTAATAAATAAATAGGTTTAATCGATCGACTACTGTTTCTTTGTTCACCTGTTCAATATAGGTAAATTTATACTAGGACCATTTGATCCATCATAGACACGTAGATACCGTCGTCGCATATCTTCTCTTCTTTCAATCTATAATCGAGAGAGTTCAAATATTTTTCAAAAAATACAAAACAATAATACTTCATGAATATATTGTGTATACAATCGTAATGTTTGTTCAGGTGACATTGAATTATTTACATGACATGAAAACATTCGATTAGGAAAATCTATGGATGATTGAACAAGACTAGAATTTCCAATATTATTTGCATCTACTAAAGAAGAAATACAATATATAGTACAAGAATCTTTATATGTGTATTATCTGTGGCGTATTGATTTACTATTTTTATTTTTTTCTTCTACATGTTCAGCAAGTCGTTTAAGTGCATCAGCAAAACTATTCGTAGATGCTGGTTTAATACCAGCAAATGATGGACTTGATGATGTTGACCAACTAAATGACATCTAAAATGATTAGATTATTATATTTCTATGTATTATAATGATGACTCTAATCAGCTGATTTTTCTTGTCGACATCAATTATAGATTATGTAATTGTCGTTTGTTGATGATTTAATTCTACTTACCTTTCTTGTACACATATTCGTGAGATACACTATTCTGCGTCAAGTTTAAATGTCGGACGTGGTATGTGTGTTAATGAGCGTAAGAGGTGAATGGGAAAAGGGCGTCACGACACTCAAGTTCTGTTGGTCGATAGAGAAGCAATATAGCAACAGGACAACGAACAAAACTATTTCTCTAGTGTATTTGTATATATATATATATATATATCTATCATAGTACCTATTTTTTATGCCATAGTATAATATCGAGAAAAGGACAGTACAAAAAAAAGAAAAGAAAAGAGCCGTTCGTGTTCTTCTTCTTAGACATCAAATAACCAGTTTAAAGTTGAAAATTAAAATATTTCTATATATATATAGATAGATATTATCTCGAGAATTAAATATGAGTCTCATAAGTAATGATTCTTATATAGATTACAAGAGAACTGTATAGTCTTGAAATTGAGTCATACATGTAGCGACACGCGTCATTGCAATAAACTATAAAGAATAACGTGCTAAGTGTGGCATTCTGTTGATTTTTGCCATCTTGTCGATATATGTGCTATCACCGATCACACATACTGACCGTGCAGTGTATCGATTAGACGGATAGAAGGCGACAGAGGCAGGAATTGAGAACAAGAAAGGGTAGAGAGAGAATGCAGTCAAAAGCTAGTTCTACACATTGAAGACGCCAACAAAAAAAAACGAGTCGAGAACCCTAAAATTGTTTCAAGACAATCTATGCATCACACCTGGCTTGGACAAAACAAAAGACAACTAAATATGTTTGATCTTATGTCCAATGCCAGATGTTACTTACTCCTATTCAAGCAGTAGTTGTATTCTATTGAACATATATACTTACATTTTTATATTGAATATGTGTGAAACGGAAATAGGCATCTTCTTGTTTAAGAAGATTTTTTTCAAGTGTCTTTCCACACTTGACAAGAAAGCGCAAGTATGCATTCACTGCCGAAACGATTTAATGCATCATCAATATTTCACGCACACGTACACATACAATAGAAAAAGAGTGCGAGCAATGAACGGTTCTGTCTTTTTTTTTGCTAACTATATTTGTGCGTTTTCTTCATTTTTTTTTCTTCTTCTCCTTCTTTCCGACCCACTCACTTGCTCGCTCACTTGCTTTCATTTCTTGTCGCCAATCGATCGTTATTAGAAAAGAGACAGACACATAGACAGAAGATCGAGATCGACAAGTTGATTAAATAAGAAGCAAAAAAGAAATTAGTCTGAGTGAATAAGTGGGAGAGAGAGAGCATTGACATGTTACAAGTATTAACAATGCAAAGATAGAAAGAATGAATGAATGCGAACTACTAGACAGTGACATAAGTTCTCAGAGGCATTGAACTCTTAAAAATGCTCATTTGTTTGATAAAATGTACAACAAATATTCAACGTATTATTCATTGGAAATCACTGAACAATTGAAATGGCTCTTATTGTTTATGACGTTTAAATATACAAAAGATAATTTCGAGATACCATAATTATCTTCGATTTATTAATATGACTTAATATTAAATTGAAAAACGAAGAATTCATAAAATGATTCCATTGACTTATATGAATACAAAAATAATCAAAAGAAAGAGAAGCTTTATATACTGAAATACCTTAACTTTTGAATTTGATATAGGTTTCATTATAACATAAACTCAAATGAGGATATACTTCTTACGGTTAGATGAAATAGCAACAATCCTCGACTTCAAAATTAATTTTTTTTTCTCAATAGCAACATTTCTTTCAAAAAGTCCTTTTTCACATCTATGGCATTACTAGAAGGATAGATATAACGGCTAAAAAAAAGACCTATGTAGACACATAATTATTAACTAACAATGATCGATAATGAACTTCTCTTGTAATATGATTACTCGTATTGTATGTTATTCTTAGATGGAGTTACTCTATAAACTCCGCCAATATGACGATCAATCCATAGCAACCTATATTTGACTTTTAAAATGTCTGAAAAGAAAAACTAACTCAATAGAATAATAAAATATTATTTTATTTTTTTGTTTTGATTAACTAAAACAAAAATGGCAGATCGAACAAGAGTTCCAAATATGCTCGATACCTTTATGTATTATAATACAAATCCAACACCACCATTTCCTGGTAGAAATTTTTATTCAATATTTTTTTTAATATGTCCTTGATTATTGATAAATCATCGTAGGATATGGAGTACCACCTACCTATCTTCCTAATCAAACAAATGTTCAACCATATGTTGCTCAAGTTGGACTTGATCCTTGGTAGTTCGGCAAAGTTTTTTTCCAAAAATGAATAAATTATTTCTATTTCTTTCTAGGCCGGTTAATGTACCTGCTTATCCTCAGGAATACGAAACACATTTTCCTCTAGGTTAGATATTTTATTCTACTCTTCTTGTTAATTTCTATGACCATATCTCTGTAGGAACCAATTATTGGTGTACACCAGAATATAAATTAACTCCAAACAATCTTAATGATAGTGAACCAACATTACTTATACGTGAAAATCGAGCTAAACCTGGTGTTAAACTTGCTTTTACAGAAAAAGGAGCCGAAAGTGATCCTCGTATATTTCGTTCTCGTTATGGTACATCATCAGATGTTCCAACTCGGCCATATTATGCTCAACCATGGCTTATTGATGAAATTCGAAAAGTCAAAAATTAACAATAATGAAAAACTAAAATGAATTCATTTGTTTAAAACTTCTTTTTTTCACTTAGAGAATAAGACAGGCGACATACAATCACATACAGAGAAAATAATAATAATAATAATAATACTAAAATCATAAATAATGTCTAATATTCGCCTTCTTCTTCACCTTCAGCTGGTGCTGTATCAGCTCCAACTTCTTCATAATCTTTTTCTAACATTGCCAAATCTTCACGAGCTTCACTAATTTCAATACAAAAAGAAAACACCATAAAATAAAATTGATCATTGTCAATCATACCTGAATTCACCTTCTTCCATACCTTCACCAACATAATGATGAACAAATGCTCGTTTTGCATAGAGTAAATCAAATTTATGATCAAGACGAGCCCATGCTTCTACAAATATCCAAAAAACAAAAATCTGTATCATATCAAAAACAAAAAAATTGAATGTTTTAATTTACCAGCAATAGCTGTTGTATTTGCCATCATCTAAATTGATCAAAATAAAAATCATTTTTTTTTTATCATCTACAACTGTATTTTCTTACACAAGCTGCACGTTGAACTTTAGCTAAATCACCACCAGGTACAACTGTTGGTGGTTGATAATTAATACCAATTTTAAAACCTAAATTTTAAATGAAAGAAAAAACAGTCACACAAAAGTTTCTTAATAATTATCACCAGTCGGACACCAATCAACAAATTGAATATTTCGATTAGCTTTCAATGTTGAAATAGTAGCTATATATAAAATAATAAAAACTATTATTTCAAACAATTAGAAAAACCTTTTACCATTTATATCTTTTGGTACTACATCACCTCGATAAAGAATACAACAAGCCATATATTTTCCTATATAAGTGATTTAATTTTTCAAAAATTTTGTATTTTATTTTTCATTTACCATGTCTTGGATCACATTTAACTAATTGATTACCAGGTTCAAATAGAGCTGATGTTACTTCTGATGTTGTTAATTGTTCATGATAAGCTTTTTCAGCTGATATAATTGGAGCATATGTGGTCAAAGGAAAATGTATACGTGGATATGGAACAAGATTGGTTTGAAATTCAGTAAGATCAACATTTATAGCACCATCAAAACGAAGTGATGCAGTTATAGATGATATAACTTGTGCCTAAATAGAATACATATATATATATACGTTTTTTTCTATTGACTGTTTTCTTGATTACCATTATACGATTAACATTTGTATAAGTTGGTTTTTCAAGATCAAGATTTCGTCGACATACATCATAAACAGCTTCATTATCAATACAAAAACAACAATCTGAATTTTCGAATGTACTATGTGTAACTGAAAAGAAAACATCTATAATTAAAATACGATAAATCAAATAAACCGACCGAGAATAGAATTGTATGGTTCTACAACTGCAGTTGCTATACGTGGAGCTGGATAAACAGCAAATTCAAGTTTAGATTTTTTTCCATAATCAACAGCCAATCGTTCGACAAGTAATGAAGTAAAACCTTTCAAAAAGAATCTTTCGATTTATTTTTTTGTTTGATTAAAACCAATAAACAAACCTGAACCAGTACCACCACCAAAACTATGAAAAACAAAAAATCCTAATAGACCAGAACATTGGTCAGCTAATTTTCGAATACGATCAAGTACTAAATCAATGATTTCTTTTCCAACAGTATATCGACCTCGTGCATAATTATTTGCTGCATCTTCTTTACCCGAGATAAGTGTTTCAGGATGAAATAATTGACGATAAGTACCCGTTCGTACTTCATCTATTCAACAAACAATACTAATCTATTAATTGATTAAAATAAGTCCTACCAATAACTGTTGGTTCAAGGTCAATAAAAACCGTTCGAGGTACATCTAATCAAATCAATAATGTATGAACATGAATTTTAACGATTATATCTCACATTTTCCAGCTCCTGTCTCAGCAAAAAAAGTTTGAAATGAATCATCACCCGATCCAAGAGTACAATCAGTTGGCATTTGTCCATCAGGTTGTATGCCATGTTCAAGACAATATAATTCCCAACATGCATTTCCAATTTGTACACCACATTGACCAATATGAATTGAAAGACATTCACGCTAATCGTATCGAATTAAAAAAGATTCGTGTTATTTTTTCAAGTCAATGTCAAATATTTCTACTTACCATTGTAGAATTATTTCTCAAAAAACAATAGACAAAACGAAAAATTCAGATGATGCTTTGTTTGATTAAATCACTGGTTTTGTCTAGATTTAATGTAAATTACTTAATGTTTTAGCGCGCCTTTTTCTTTTGTTTAGTTTAACTTCTATCATTGATTAATGAACTATTTTGCAAACGATGAAACATAAGTTAAATCCTTTTTTTTTCATCATTGAAACAGATATTTTATTCAAAAAATAAAATAAAATAAAAAATAAAAATCTATTTCCTAGAAAGTTTATTTCTTATTTCCAAGCCACACATGTAATGCATATTGACTATCCCATAACGAACAATATCTTTTTACACATGTTAAAGATTGAATAAATTCTTGACGATTAATTGTTAATATTTGTGCATATTCAAATGTAACACTTGTTAAGTGTTCAGTATGTTCAAGAATATATTTAATATCATCGATATCTTTGACACGAATTTTTAAATGTTTTATATTTGATGATATTATTGAACAAATTGTTTTCATACGTTTCATACAATTGTCTGGTGTCCAATAATCAAATAATAATAATGAATGAAGATTTGATGTTTTACTAAGTAATAGTTTTATATTTGCAACTGTATTTAACATATGTTCAGGGATAAAATTAACTGATAAAGATAATCTTGTAATACGTGTAAGATCAAGAATAGTTGAAAGAAATTGTAATGAACTTTGTGGCCATTCACTAGTATTGTCAATTGTAAGATTTGTAACGTTACGAAAAAAGACATGAGTTAATAATTCGTTCTAAAAAGAAAAGTATTTGTATTTAATAAAAATGATTTAAAACAGATCAGTCGATTATTGTTTATTGAGCTTAAGTATTCCGAAGGACGAATACATGTACAAAAAAGATAATGATTTACCCAGAAACTAGACAAAACATTCTCTTGAGGAAATAAACAAGGATATGTTTCAATTTGACAAGTTTTACTTGATTAAAATTTTCCAATTTTTTTCTATATGGAACAGACAAAGATCGATAAGGTAATAACAGGCCAACTATGAGCATAGTTATGCACTTTACTTCAACACTGGAACTTCCCTGAATTTTGTTTCTCTTCGTTTTGAATCAAGCATACGACATAATATAGAATTCATAGCACTAATCATGAATATCTTTTCAGTTTTTTTTTTAAAATCATTTTAACAAATGAATAAGCAAAGTATGCAATATTTTGACTATGGGCAACAAACATGGTCGTCTTTTTTTATTTGTTTTTAAAGTAATTCATTGATTTCATGTATTATTCTAAATTTTTGAAAAAAAAAACTGTTTATAAGAGAGTGCCCTCTATCTAATGAAATACCAACTACGTCAGTTAAACGTATACAACGATGCACAGCATGCCAGAAATATGAAAAGGTAATCTGAAAAATAATACTTTTCATTATTAAATGTCAATTTTGCTTCAAAACAGCAGGTATTTTTTTCTGCTTCAAGAATACAACATCAAAAGGAGTCGTCAACATCAATTCACTAGGGTTTTCGCTTGTAACCCAGATCAATGAGCTGTTTCTCATATGGGTAATGTCTTAATCCCTGCATCATTAAATAAAGAATACTTGAATATCTGTTTGACATCTGTTTCCAAACGTTTAGAACATTAGTCAAGGCCAATAACCAATCAAAAACAAAGAACAGCGTACTTATTCACCCGGAGTCTTTTTTTTTGAAAATTCGCTCTTTTCATATATCGAAATGATTCAGAAAAAAAACTAAAATGATATTTGTAATCCGCGCTATCATCTCTATATTTTGACATATGTTTGATTCTAAACTAAAAGATCAAAAATCTGCAGGCGCATGGTGAGAAAGTATAAGTGCAAAAAAAAAGGTCAATGTCAAAGTGAGGTGAATGAGTATATCCATGGTTGGCTTATTATCATGATTAGTTTTTTTTCAAAACATTTTACGGCGGAAAGTGTCCTTATCGTCCCTGATCCTTTGACATTGAAAATGTGTTGACTCATTCTATTCTCTACATTTTGAACCTTCGAATAAAACAAAAGAAGATTTATGTCAATTCAACATTCTTAAAAAATCTGATCATTTTGTATTTGTATATTAATTACCTCTTCTTTTGATAGAATATTCAAATCTTTAGTTAATTGTAATTGTAATTTTTCTACATTATCCATATCATTTTCATTGCTTCGTGTTGTAAAATTTGATGAAGAAATTTTTTTCAAATCAGTTTGATACATAAAACGAGTAGTACATATTGGTAGAGTATATAACATTAGTTTATGTGAATTAATAATATAATCACAAGTAATAAAACAATTCATATTATCAAGCCAAAATGATGTTCGAAATGACTTCATAAGAAGTTCAACATTACGAGAACGATAATCATAATAAGTTAAAATATGAAGAAACAATTCGAATTTTTTTAATGAATTAATTTTTCGAATTAATTTTTCTAATTGAAAACCATCAAATGATGAACTAAATAAAGATCCAGTACCAGTTAATTTTAGATAAGTTAATAAAGGTGTTAATGAAAGACATTGTTCAAGTATATTAGTTTCTATAAGTCCATTTTCGAATGTTAGTGATGTCAATTGCCGAAACGGTTTCGTATGTATGCTTGCTTCATGATCATCTATACCAATTTCTTTTAAAACAAGAGTTCGTAAATTAGGAGAATTTTGAAGAATAATACAAAATTGTTTTAGTGTTATACTGTTAGCAATTCGGATATAGTGCAATGTACAATTAATAGGCCATTTAATATCAATCCAATCTTTAGTCCATATACTCAAATGAAGATTTTTCACAGTATGATGAGCTATAGCTGATGATAGAAGAGATGGTGTTGCATTTTCATGAGCATGTACTATTTGTGTAGTAATTGAAAGACTTTTTAATGAAGACGTAATAATATAATTTGAAAATATATTTAAATGAACTTCACTAATTTGAAGAAGAGTTAATGATTGAAGTCGAATAAATTTTTCAATATGATATAATGAAAGAAATAATTGAATTTGACCTCGTGTTTCATCTTCATCGGATAATGTAAGTGAAATAACATTTTCAAATGGTATAAGTTGACAAATAAAATGAAAATATGGTTTAGCTATTGATTTAAAATTAAAATTATATCGATTATATGAATTAGATATTAAATAGAAACGTTTACAAACATAACGAAGTGATAAAACAATAAATTGAATATCAAGATAATCAAATATGCGATAAAGAATTTCAACAGGTAACGTATCAACGTATGAATTGGACATATTTAACTGTGTTAGAGTCTACATTCTGAATATTTGATCTAAAAGCACAAAAAAAAACATATTTTTTCTCTGAGGTCAATAAGGACAAAATAAAACAGAATAGATAGTGTTTCTTTTTGTATATTATATAATTTGTTATTTTTTGTTCATGCAAAGCTAACCACATAGTATGCACTCATAGGAATGCATAAAATGTTTGATTAAATATATCGAAACTATTTTATTTTCTTCTTTCAATATCTTTGTATCCGCCATATGACGTTTAACTAGATTATTTTTTTTTTCGAATAAGTTATTTATTTTCTTTGGCATATGTGTCACGCAAAAAGTTATCATGTGAAAACAAGCGATTGAATGGTTTTTATCATAATGCTCTTACTAGAAAATTAATATGAATTCTGACTAGATATTTGAGAGATATAAATAGTGTCGATTGTTGTGAATGCAAAAAAGAGAACTGCAATCATATTTTAAGTTAAATGATTAGAACTACTATTTTTTTTTCTATTTGAAGCAATGAAAAGCATAAATGCCCCATTTTGCACTATAAGATAGTGTTTGAAGTTATTGTCGAATTTTTTTTAAAATGCCAGCCACCATTTTTTGAATCAGTCTTCACCATTGATAGCTATCGAGTTCAGGTTTTAGCCATTCGATAGAGCGGCGCGGGGGGGGGGGGGGGCATCTGTCTATATGAGACTCATTAGGACCAAAGAAGTTTTTTATGGTACATATTTAATTGCTAAGAGTTCTCGTTACGAATTTCATGAGTTTTCATAGAGACGTAGGCTTAAATTACACCAAAATGTAGCTCAGAGAGTCCGGAATTTGGGTTAAATTCTCAGAATTTTAACGAACTATCGTATTCGAGACAATTATAGAAAGAGCTGAAAATTTTATCACAGATACAGTACCCTCCAAGTTACATCTTGGTGTAATTCAAGCCTAGGTCTCTATGAAAACTAATGAAATTGGTAACGAAAACTCTTAGCAATTAAATATGTACCATAAAAAACTTCTTTGGTCCTAATGAGTCTCATATAGATAGATGCCCCCGCGTCGCTCTATCGAATGTCTAAAACCTGAACTCGATAGCTATCAATAGTGAAGACTGATTCAAAAAATGGTGGCTGGCATTTAAAAAAAATTCGACAATAGTTTCATATGCCCGATGGTTTTTCTACAAGTGACATTACTTGTAGTCCTGTCGTTGAATCATTTGAGTTTCTCGCTGACTAACGACATACTACGAACAAGGCCCGGTGTTTTTACCAACGTAATTAGCACACTATCGAATAAATGTTTCTTAACAAACAGCTGTTAAGAACTTATCTCGGGTCATTCTATTTTTGGTGCGCCAAAGTTCAAACACTGTGTTTTAATGGCATGTGTCAAACAACTTAATCACTTAGCCATACTAACCTTTGAATGATTAACAATTAATAAAATCGAAGAAAAACTTAATATAAAACAACAGATTTATCTTATCTTCAAAATATGAAGGCTACAGTTCGAATAGATCTTTACTTCCCAATGATTTTCTTAGAACATCTTCAAATAAAATAATTCAATAAACAAAAAGTATCAGTTTTCAATCTCTGTAGAACTATCATTATTATTGATCGTCTCGTTCATAAATGAAATACATAGGTAAATTAATACGATTGTTTTCCTAAAAAATGAAACGTTTTATCTTTAGAAAGAGATAGTCTCTTTGTTTTTTGTTTTCCATCTTCTAATAGAATGAATATACAAAAGAATTATTCTCAAATTACTACTACAATTAAAAACGAAGGAAACTTTTTTTTATAGTTCATTTGAAGCTGAATAGTTAAAGGAGATTTTCGTTATTGACTAAGAAAGTAAAATGAAAATTCTATGTTGATTTCGACGAAAAAGTATTTTAACATTGAACTTTGCATATAAGAAGACTATCAATTCAAAAAGTGTTAAGTTTTTTCTTATTTGTCTAAAAATTTTCTCATCATCTAAAAATATAAGATTATTAGTATTCGATCGTAAGAATATTTCTTTATCAACATTACCTACTGTAATTAATGCAAGATTAAGATTAGTCGCATGACATACTAGCCTCAAAAAATCCTGTAGATATTATCGAAAGCGAGTGAGTGAGAGTCGATGGACATGTAGCTAAGACTACGCAAAAGTATCTTTATTCACATCTACGCATCTGTGACGAATTATCCGGTGACCCCTCGATAAAAATTGTACTCCAAGAAAAAGACGAAAAATACTCAAATCATTTGTCAAATCTTTTTGTCATCATTTTATTAATCATATCTTTGAAATAAGATTTCAATTGTATCTTATAACGAAAACACAAGACAATGAAATAGTTATTCTTTTTTTTGTTTCCAAATCGCATGCATATTTTTATATCGATATTTAAATAAGATGTATACATGTGTGTATAAAAAAAGAAATGACAATAAGATAGAATACAAGTTGACAAAAAAAAAAGAAACAACACAACAAATATCTAACAAATAAGCTGATTATTATTATACAAAAGAAAACAAAATGATTTTGTTTATCTGACAAAATTTGTTTTTGTTCATTCGATATTACTTGAAATAATAAAAAAAGCATTACGTAAAACACTTGATGGAAAACATGTTTCAAGTAAATCACGTGTTAAATATGGACATTGATTAACAAATTGTTCCAGTAATATATATGTTGCTTCTTTATGTATTATATCATTTGATAAACCATTTGAATTATTTGATGTTGAATTATTATTTGTATTTGAATATTTTGTATTTTGTCCACAATCAACATCAATTAAACGTAATAAACTTGATGATGCTAATGCAAGAAATTCTTTACAACGATCTTCAATATGTCTTTGACCATGTTCAAAAAAAAATGTTGTTATTAATGTATTTATAGCACGTATTAAACAATGACAATTATTTGCATGTGCATCTAATGCAACAATATATTTTGTTGATTCAAGTCTTGCTAAACGTGGTAATGCAACAGCTATATAAACCATAATTAAACATGAAAGTATATATTCATCGGATTCATTTGTTGTTGATGTTTGATCGTTAGTATTATTATTATTATTATTCATAGAATTTTTTTGATTGATTAATGCTTGACATAATGTTGAATCGATAATTGTTGATGTACCTGTTGATGAAATCATTTCATTTATAAGTAAATGATGTTGTGGATCATTTGAAAATGTTGTTGTTTTATATTGTGAATAAAAATGTTCTAATGTAACCATTAAAAATGGCATACGTTTATATAAAACATCTTGTAATGCTTCTTCAATAAGATTTTTTAATTGTAATAAAACACCAATTAATATAACACGTTGTAATAGTAAATCAACATGTTCAAGTTGTTTTAAATAAAGTTTCATTTGTGTTGGTTTATCAAAATTTATACGAAGATTATTTAATAAATCACGTTGACTATGAGTTAATTTTCGTATTTCATTTATTTGTTGAACACAACGATAAAGAATCATTTCACATAAATATTTACAACCGTCTAAAATATAAAAAGAAAACATTCATAAACACAAAAAAGTTCCATCAAAATGTATAATTTATAAAGATGAATATAACGCAATTGATTTTTGTTAGAAATTTCGTCTAATCTAGTATTTTATACAGATTTTCTCTTTCGAACGGGTAATTAAAAGCTTCGGAAGGGCGAATGTTCGATTTCATCTCTACGATGGATAAAATACTCAATAAAGTGTAGTTGTCATTATTTTTCGAATGGTTTTCTACGTTAATTTTCATTGTTGAAATTTCTCAGCAGAATCTTATTTGTGATAGAATTATATGGGATTGCCTATTCAGTAAACTAGTAAAAGTTAGTTTCTAGTCTCAGTAAGGTTTCTTGTGATTCTGATCTTTATAAATTATCTAATAAATTTTTAAATTTTCAACTAGAAAAAGATCTTATTTTGATCGCAAGCTCAGCATTACTAAATCTTCTGATTTTTGAGTTTCTACTTGAATTTTTAGAGACATTATGAATCAACAAGAAAAACTAACTGATTTATCGTACTGTTGATTAGACAAAATTGTTTTTCTTTTTGTTGGAAGTGTTTTTAGCCCTATGAAACATAAAGTTTTTGATATAAGAACCGAACTGGAATGATGTACGACATAGTTAGAGCATATTTTAAAATAATTGTAACCATTAACTACTAGTGTACACAATTTTATAACTATTTCTTAAACAATGAAGGTCTTTTAAACAAAATTATTTTCATAAAACAATACACTATTTTTGTACATTTCAATAAGTGACTCTGAAATGGTCGATGACGGTAGTTTTAATGATTATAATTTCTTTATTACTATATACAAATGTTTTTCTTTAATTCCAATTTTATATATTTCTATAATCAGTCTTTCTATGATTGACTTCAAACTGTTTTAAAAAACAATATGACAATTAAATTTAAATAAATCTTACATGGTTTAATTAATTCGACTAATGCTCTTAATTCATTAAATGAAGCATATTCTTCGGGATCAAATGGTAATGTTAAATCTTGTTGATGAATACTAACAAATGATCGACGAATAGGTGAATAAACAATAGTACCCATTGTAATACGTTTAACAAGTACTTCAAGAAACCAATGTGTATATAATGATGTTATTGTTTCATTTCCTGCACTATCTAATGGTTGACTTTGTTGTAAAAGTACTTCATTAAATATTCTTGTTGTATCAATTTGACAATGAGATTCAACTAATGTTAAAATATCCATATAAGATTCAACAGATGATAATAATTCAGATGGTTTAGCTATTTCCATAGCTGGTGGACGATAATTAACCATTTCTGATAAAGATTTATTAAAACGATTTTCTAAATGTGATATTAAATATTCATTTGGTAAAAATTTATGTTCCCATATTGTTATTTGTTTACGATATGATATTGAAAAACATAATTCATTAAGTACCATCATTAATTTATCAGTTTTTGTCATATCA